AAATTTTTTATGGTCTCAGGTTGGAGCACGCTGCCTTATTACTGCTGGTGGGTATGGCTGTCTTGGACTCCGTTGGAGTTGGTTTTGGCCACTTTGCTAGATATATGGACACAGTTCTTAGCTAAATGGTGAACAGTAGAGTTGAAAGGTGATGCTTGTACAAAAGCTCGTTAACTCCTGATAGGAATCTGTACAATAACTTTATATATATGTATCTTTCTTGAAGAGTGGAAACAAGTTGAAGGCCTTGTTAGTGTGCTGGGAAAATTATGCCAATAATCTAGTTTGTATATTTAATTTTAATGCTTTGATTCTATTTTTTTTAAATAGGATATTCCGTTAATGGCAGTGTTGAGAACAGGCATCCTTTATAGTGGTGTTTGTTTACTTTAATTTGATGTTAGAATACCATATAATGTCAAATAATTTCTTGCAAAACCTTAGCCTGTCTTATGAAAGGTGAATTAAATTGTTTAAAATAATTCATTCTAATGAAAAGAATAGCTTGCCTGGAGACTAGCAGGATGTCTGTTTAAAGCTGCATATAGATTTTTGCTGTTCACACTGTTTTCCTGTTATTTGAAATTTATACTTACTTCTAGAAAGTCTTACTTGATAGAAAGTTGAAGTGTTTAGTTAAAATAGAAATGTGATTCACATCACAGTGTGATTTAAGGGAAGGAAAGTATATCATGTTCTGTAGAAATTTGTATTCCTATCAAAATACTGTTGCTTTATCAACTATTTTACTTTGTCTCATTATTCGTTACCAACTATGACAGCCAAAGGCAGGATCAACCAACTCTGTGAAAAGAGCCTGTTATTCTCCAGAATCCTCACCTGCATCACTGCTAAAACCAGTCAGCAGCAGAGGTTGGTCCCACTAGTACTGAATTAAGGGTTTCTCGGGGGGTTTTTTGTAAGGTTTTGAGTAGAGGAATTAAACCTGTTCTATATATATGGCAGGACAGTCATGTGAATCACCCTTGAAGCCTGCAATACATGATTATGTAGATGTTTCCAAAAAAGCAGTGTCTCCTGTCTGAAAGAAAAACAACTACATTAGAAGATGTTGAAGCGCTGTGCCGAAGTCCTGCCGTGTTTTTGGACCCTGAGGATGATCACGGGTCTGTTGGATCACCTTTTCCTTTGGAGAAAGGGAAAAGTTCTCTGGTAGTTAAGTAAGTAGAGCTGAACATGGCTGTGGTGTTACATCCCCTGTGTGCCCTCCACCTTAGGGTAAATCAACACAGTGGTTTCCATCGTTTATAAGTTTAGATTGTGAACTCATAAAAAATAATTCCAAGCTTTTTAGAAAAGTTCCATATCTGTTTTTAGGAAGGACAGAATTATTTTTTATTAAATATTCTGGTGATAAGTGCAGCACCCAAGTGTAGGAAGCCTGTCAGAATAGACTTGAACTCTTTGCAGAAAAGTTCACCAAAGCATCAGCTTCTTAAGTAGTCCAGACTTTTTCAGTGAATCCTATTGACAGTATTGACCTTAGAAGTTAACAAGGATTTGTTAGAAATGAACAGTCATCATTCTTCTCACTCTGAATAGACGAGTTTTTTATACGAAATCGAAAAACTTAAGCTGGGATCTCTATCTCCCCACTGGAAAATTTGAAGCCCAACTGCAATATTGGCCAGTGGTCCTTACCACAGTTCTGCTTTCCTGGAGGGCTGAGCCTGTAGGGTAGATCATAGAGATGGACTGACACTGATCCCATTGATTCCCATTGATGGAGTGAGATTGGGAAGACAGTGTACCTACAGTCTAGGAAACCTGACAATTTCTGAAGCACATTAGGACAAATTAGGAATTTGTCTTACTGAGCAGCCTTTACTTTGATCAAGAGTCACCATAAGACTCTGTATTGCTTTGGACACATGCTGCTGTGCTGGGAAGTACTACAGCTAGGCCGTGTTTCAGCAAATTACCAAGGGGAAACTCATTCCTAAGTGAGACACTGTCAGCAGGAGCATCTGTTCTTCCTCACAATACTTTATTGTGCACTCACAAGATTTATAGCAATATATCTGAATGCTGTTTTTCATACATAGATTATGTCTTGATGGTTGGAATACACCTACTGCAGCAAAGAACTGTGGAGGAGTTGAAAATTTGGAAGGACCTCAGACTGGGAGAGATGAGCAGGTTGTTCTTGTGCAAGGAACAGAACCTGTTGCTACATCTTCTGTGCAGAAAGAGAAGACTTTCTCTTCAGCTCTCTTAGCAGCTGTAGCAACAGGAACACTTTGACAGAGGTTTGTTTTGAGGCTTAATATGGAACATAATTTGCTATTAAAATAACTCTGGTCTGAATATCGGAACAACATCCTTTTGTCTATAAACAAAGTCTGGGAGCATGTTTTGTGATAGTCGACCATTACTTAAAAATGGCACTTGAGAAAGGGTTTGAATGGTTGTTTCAAAATTTTGTGTAGAATTTAACAGTGCTCTTGGTTTTGTCTGCCAGTAAAATGGTGTGTTGAATAATGTTTGTTGAATAGTGTTTCAGATAGACCCTGAGATGTTTTGATAGGTAGCCTAGAGGATTCAGGAAAACCTTATGTGATTTTGAAGTTTACAGTGAGCAAGCAGTCTTTTCTCAGAGCTAGTCTGGATCTGGCTGCTTACGTAGGAAATTGTCCAGTGTCTGTCCAGTTGACTGTCCAGCATCAGCAAGACGATGCAGGCCTTGTGCTCTTTTTGGAAGCTTGAAGAGCAATGAATGAATGCATTCTGAAGAATGTTCTGTACTGTGTTTAGGTGTTCTGGAATCACCACTAGATCTTAAAGATTGTAAGTCAATTTACCCCACTGCCCAAAATGATTTGTCATTGTCACTCCTTTCTGTAGATATTCAGCCTCGATATCACCTCCATCACCTCCTCCTATGAAAGATCAGGATATGGAAATCGAAAATGAATGTGAATTTTTAATTGATGACTCAGGTGGTGCCTCATTTACTTCTTGGATTTCAATACCCAGTAAGAAAAGAAAATCAAAAAAAGATGGCTCTGCAACTCCTGTTTCTAAATCTCAGCCCTCTGAACAGAAGAAGACACAGAGTAAGAAAGGCAAGAACAGGAAAGCACAGGTTGAAGCACTTACTAAACAGAAACTGAATAATCTGGATGCTGGAGCCTTTGACATCAAAAGAACGTCGAAACCGGATCCAATCTCTAACAGTGAAGGAAATGTCCTTAAATCTCAAAGCCAAAAGAGTACTCATACAGGTAAGTTCTTTAACAGCTCCTTAAACGTTTCCTTCCAGGTCATATTACTGGATTATTTTGTGGTGGTTTATTAGGAAATTATAATAAAGTAGATAGGAGACATTAATGGATTCCTTTTTGATGTTTCAGTTCCACAGTTAGATTTGGAAGTGTATGAGGCAGTGAGACAGAGTGTTTTCACTTTTCCCATCCTCTTTGCCCTTCCTGTTAGGATGTTAAAAATTAATTTAGTGGTGTCATCTTTCCTTATGAGCTGGTGTAGAAGGTAGGTACCCACATGGTAGGGTACGTAGGGTAGAAGGTAGGTAGGAAGGAGGTTAAGACACATGCTTCAAACTGAAGGGGATTAGGTTTTAGGAATTATTTGTGAAAAGGTTTGTAGCAGGAAACACTGAAAACTGGATAGCAAGCTAAATGTAACATTTCTGCTCCCTTTTTTTTCTGTTAGGAAATACTGGAAGTACACTAAAAAGGTTTTTTTATACACTCTAGTTTAGAGAAGGCCTTCTTTTAGCCTTCAGGAACAAACCTGGTTTTGTGATACCTTTTGTTTGTTTGTTTTCCTATTTTGAATTTTTGGTTTATTTTTAGGCATTCCGATATCAACATGTATCTGTTTAATGTAAAAAGATATTAATGTCCAAATGTTTTGTGTATTGATAGGAAAGACTAAAAAGGACGCACTTAGGCAAGACTCTCCAAACCAGAAAAAGAACACATCCTGGAAACCAGAAGCTGAAGAACTGATATTGTCATGGTCTGGATTGGAAAGAGAAACATGTCATGCAGAAAAATGTAAAACAAGGGTGCTGCCAAGTGAAGATTTGCCTATGCCCTCATCTGGGCATCAACAAGAGCAGACTGTGTCTCCAAAAAAGTCTCTCAAGTCTTCCAAGAATCTGCAGTCAGCTTCAAAAGCTTCTCAGCATTTAGATTTAGCTAAGAAAATGGCATTAAGTTCAAGGAAGGGGCTTAAAAAATCTGTCCAGAAAAGCAGTAGTAAAAAACCTCAGTTCAGACCTATGATTTCTAACTAGCAGTCATTTGCTTTAGTGTCTAATCACTGTAGACAGATGTTTAAAAGAAAAATAAAACCCAGACCACATGATCTGAAAAAAACTTAACTTTTATATATATGGTAGTGCTGTAATGTTCCTTTGACATTTAACATCTTTAAGCAGGTTTATTTTTTATTCTTTTGCAGTGGGCCTGTTCTAGAACATTGCAATAAATTTGATTCCAGAACTAAGTCTTGTGAACAGTATGATACATCATCAGGTAATGTTTAAAGTTGATATTTTCTTGCATTTTATGTATAAGCTTCTTATAAACTGTAACTGATGGTCCAGTAATTTCTGTTGTATTCAGCTTGTCCAGAACAAATGCGGATTTTATTGGCTGTGGTTACATTTCTGTCCAAGTAGGTGGTACGCTATGCCAGCTTTATGTTGTGTTAGCTTTGGAAGAACAAGCCCTCCAGGGTTTGGCATCAAGCCTACTGGGATAAAGTTATCGCTCCAAAATATTTTGAACACATTTTTCAGGCTCTGTTTGTACCAGTTTGATGTGTTGCCATGTGATGGTACTAAATGCAATCACTTCAGGCCACCCTGGACCAAAGTGTACAACCCGATGGCCTGTTCACCCAAGAATATTTTGGTTTGGGGTGTTTTGTTTGGTTGGTTTGGTTTGTGGTGTCTTTTTTTTTTTAAAAGTTTTGTTTGTTTGGTTTGGATTTTAAGTTTCACAACATGAGTTGTACGTGTTGTCATAATGAACATGAGCCTTGGAGATTAAAAAGTCATTTTGTTAGTATTTTAGAGCCAAAAGTGAATATGCGAATGTTATTAGTTCATGCAGTTCTTTCTTCAGAGACCTAATTTTGTGTGTGTTCTTGTAAGAAGTTTGTTCTAAAGCTAGGTTTGAGTGATATAAAGCTGATTGACCTTGCACTTTGTCATAATTTTCCAATGTGTATTTTATCAAGAGGGATAGGTCTGAGGAATATTTAAGTGAATATGTAGTTTTCATGTAATTTTCAAGCTAACTGATTGCATATACTGCTTATCTACATTGGGTTTCATACATGTTTGTAGCAAAATGTGTTAAGAGAGAACACTATCATTGGGACTTGTATTACACTTGGTTACTTTTAGTGGGTATATTGAATAAAAGTCAGGAATAGTAAATGCCTATGGTGGTGGTTTTTTGAATGTGTTTACAGAGACTTTTGATGACTTGAATTACAAAGTGAGAGATCCATTTTCAGACAACATAGCAAGGCATAAAATAGGTAAGATTATTTAAAATATCATAATGCAAGTGTGTAAATACAAATGTATTTCCAACTTGATGTAAAGTTTGCTGAAGGAGACTGGCATGCAGCTGCACACTTGTATTCCTTACAAATACTAAAATATATCTTACTGTATTCATATATGGCAGCTTAGACCACTTGAAAGTTGAGACTATGTAATAAGTACATCTGAAGATAAATATCTGAGAAATCTTGGAAATACGTGGTGTTTCTGTTGGCAGAAGTGCCATTCTTCTGGACCTCAGAAATGGGACATATGAATCTGGAAGAGGAGGAGCTGCGTATGCAGTCTCTTACTCTCCCCTTGCCATAACTAAGGCAGTGCCTTTCCACTGCTGCTAATGAAATCCCTCAGATTTAGGCTGGGTCCTTAGTCTTTGTCGAGAGCTTTGTCTTCACAGTTGTAGCATGTTTTCTGTCCTTGTGCTTGAGCTCCTAAGGTCCAGGTCTCAGTGATTCACTAAGATACATAGAACTAAGTATAATATAAAGTCAGTGTGGTGATTGTTTAAGAAAAAGGAGAGTGAAATAGTGATGTATGCAAAAGAGGGCTTTTGTCAATATTTGGATCCCATTTTCCTATCACGATAGCAATATCAGCTGGGAAGTGCTGACCCCCCCTTGTGATACAGCAAAACAGCAAAGGATACTTAATATTTTCCATCTCTGAATTTTCCTTTCATGTTTAATATGAATTGTGTCATCCTTCAAATTAGTAATGCCTTCCAACACACCTAACGTTCGTCGAACGAAAAGGATATGGCTGAGACCTCTGGAATATTGGAGAGGCGAGCGCATAAACTATACTATGAACTCTTCAGGTATTAGTTCCAAAATACCTATTTGCTTCCTTCTGATGGGGCAGTAAAGAAAAATCTGTGGGTTGATCTTGTGCCATGAGGACTTTGAGAGGCTTACTTTTGGGTAATTTTATTTTTTTAAGATTATTTATGGTCACTAGCTATTTAGTCACCTTTCCATGTAGTCCTTTTCATTCCTGATATTCCCTTGTCAGCTGAAAATAGCATCAGGAGAGTATGTTAAGTTACTTTGCCTTCACTGTTTAGAGAAGAACAGAACAGTTTCTCTATATTAGTAGGTTTATTATATCAGAGATTGTGTATGATACTGGAAAAAGAGACAATCTGCTGGATCATTCATTGGAGCATTTCTCTTTGTGTGAGGATTGTTTTCCAGAGGAGATACTCTAATATTTTATCCAGTCTCAGTGTTAAATTCCCTAAGTGAACAAATATATCTTGTTCTCTTGGATTTTTTCTGACCAATGCAGCCCAATATTTTGTCTTTTCTTAATTAATTATTTTGCTTGAGAATAGTATTTCTTTGCGTTCCTAAAACTGATATTTTTTCTTAAAAAATTGCTTTCATATCATGGCTTTCTGAAATGCTCTGTGACTGAAATTTGATAAATATTATTTTCAAAATATCTCAAGTTGCCTTAATAATGAAAAGCTTTTTGGTTTGTTCTTGTTTTCTAACGCTGTCTGAAAATTTCAACATCAAGGAAGTATATTCTCAGTTAAAATGCTTGTTGGTTGTTTAAGTTTTTAAGGTTACTGTGAGTTAGCAAGCTTTGTTTAACTTCCTTTTGTTTCAGGAGGGCTTGTGATTAGTGGATTAGTGCATCCAGAAACACAATCTCGCAGTAAGAATAGACAGAGGAAGGATCGTCACAAGCAGAAAGCCAACAAAACAAGTACGAACACAGACTTTTTCCCTTTTGATACTTAAAAACAAAGTTATCTGTAATCAAATACTCCATTGCTGTAAGATATTCCTCCTGTAACACTTGATTCTCTCTGTGGATGAAAATAATTTTATAACAAAATCTATTAACGTGATGTGGAAAAACCTGTTCTTACTTTGTCTGTAGCAATGCTGTATATTCTTGTTATAAAAACGTTAACTTTTCAGAAGAAAGGAAGAAATACAGAACATACCCAGAAGTGTTGTTGTGCCTTTAAAGCAGGGGTAGAAAAAAAATAAACTGTACTTCTGTTTGTGTTCAGATCGTGATGCTAATGTGCACAGTTAAGGTATAAAAACTTGTGGTCGTTTTACTGATACCTGTAATATCACATCTAAAAAAGCAGTATATGGTGTTAGTAGAGTCTCAAGCTTTTGTAGGTTAAATACAAAACCACAACATGGTAGGTGAAGAGGGAGCTTTAAGAACAGTGCATAAAATGGTTCAAAGTGGGCAATAAATCTGTGTTTAAACAAACAGGAAGAGGAAGCTTAACTAGAGCCTCTGTGGCCAGAAGATAATAAATATTTAGGTAGTGTTCAGAAAAGAGTCAAAATTCAAATGCTAAATTATTTTTGCTGTGCAATCTGGAAGATGTTTCAATGTTGGAGAACCTTTCTTTGTGGGGACTGTCTAGAACTGCTGTTTGAAACTGAAACATTTCTCAGTGAAGTTATAGAACTAATAAAACAAATACTAACAAGAACGGATAATGCCATATGGTCCTAACACAGTACTAAAACAAATCGGAGCTGAAAAAATAATCAGAGAAATAAGGAAGAAAATGGTCACTGTTGGTAAAAATATCTGATTTTCTAGAGTGTTTCCTGTGAATTTTATCCCTTAAGTCAAGAAGAAAGTGGTAGGACTAGAGAAGGTTCAGGGAAAGCTCATCAAAGACATGAGAGGACTTCTGTGCAGAAGCAACTACGTAGTGAAGACTCCTCAGCCCTCAGGGGAGTTCTGTGGTGGCCTGAGAAAGACCTATAAAATCACAAGTGGTGTGGAGAAGAGAAATAGGAATAAATTGTTTTATTGGCTTTTTTTTTATATGTTTGTTTTTAAACACAAGAACTAGAAGGTGTGGCAGGAAGATATGGAGAGCTGAGTTCTTTAGCAGAATAAGGTGGCCATTTTCACTATGTGCTACTTGCCCCATAATATTGTGGACAAAAATATTTGTGTAGATTCCAGACGAGATCTAGATACATTAACAGGAGACTTAACTGTCTAAATATGTATGAGTTCCAGGTTAGAGGTGGGAAGTATTCCATGGAAGTGCCGTTGCTCTGTTATGGCATTTTTGGGGATGGAAGGAGTACCTGCTTTTGGCCACTGATGGGAGACAGAATCCTGGTCTAGATCAATCAAGTACAGTTTACGTTGTAATATAAATAATTTGCAGGGCGTGTGAACCTGAGCTGGTAGTGACTGTTTATGTTGTATCTTACAAGAGCTATTGGTTGCTTTGGGTGCATTTGAACTGTCTTCCAGAAGTGATCGATTTCCTCTCTAACAGACATCCATCCTCAGATCCTTTGCTCACATCCTTCAGTTTTAGTGATGCGTATATAGGGACTGTCAGCTGAGTAAAATTTCTAGCACGAATTCTCAAATCTTATTGATACAATAAAAATTCTGTTGTTATAGCTATAGAGTTACACCTGATGCTGCTTCTCTTTATCCAGAGATGGTTATGTTGGAACAGAGCTGTTCAAACACAGCAACTTTCTTCCTACCTCTGACTGTCTTGGTGTAAGGGTATTTAAGCAGCCATGAGTGCCTACAAAGCGCAACAGCTTGCCTTTAACATGCTGCTTCTGGTTGCATTTAAAGAAATTTCCTGTGCGTTGTAGAGCTAAAATTGTCTGCTTATGAGAATTCTGCAAGAGAGCTTTGGGATATTCTGTTGTGAATATTTTCTAGCATCTATTTTCTGTTTGAAAAGCGTAGAGTTGTCATTGATTCTTAGGATATTTCCTGCTCTGGAAAAATCCTTTTTATTATATCTTTTTTATTATAGAAATAGTTCTCAGATTTACAACATACAGTGAGATTCCTGTAATGGTATTTCTTGAGAAAAGGAAAATTGGACATGCGCTTAGTCTTTAGAATGCTTTATCTCTTAAATCTCCTTTATCAGCAATAGGTAAAAGCAAAAAAACTTAGTCTTCATCCTGTATTTTATATCCTCTCAGCATCTGTTGCTAGAAAAGCACTTCTCTGAAAATACAGATACTTCTGAATAAATACTGTTGTTAATAGCACAGGATAAATAGTTGGCAAATTTCTTAGGATTTAGAGAGCCTTCATCTATTACACACAGAAATGATTTCAATGAAAATTACATTTTCAAGGAATTGTTACGGATGGTTTCCTTTTATTTAAATGAAGTGTATTCAGTCTGTTTAGTTCACTTATTAAAACAAGTTTAAGTACTTAACATGTGACATTAGAATTGTGGAAAAGTTGTAGTTCAATAAGTTTTTAAAATGCATAGTGATAATTTCTCTGATTTTGTTTTGGTTTCTTTGTTTCCTCAAATAGAAGAGAGATACCTGCAAGTTTGGATAACAACCTAGTTGATACTTCTAAGCCAACCGTTGTACTGGACCCAGAAACAAATGAGGAGGTAGTTCTAGGTGAGTTGAAGGATGTGGCCAAGGGACTTTGTGAATTATATAAGCTGTGTTTAGAATGATAAGAAAAAAATTGTTCATGCCACATTGGGAATAAAACGGTAAACTATTGAAATATTCATTGCTCTTCTGGAGAAAGTTCTGAGGAAAACAAAAAAGTGTCTTGATTTTTCAGCTAAATATTGAATATAGCTTTTGAAGGTGTTGCACTAAAACAACATGTAATGCATTGAGCAAATAACAAGACTAATTATATGATAGCATTAATGCTAATCTCCTGGACTTTTTTGTAGAATGTGTTAACACTGAAAGCAGTCACGCTTGCTCCTTCAAAGACGAAGCGGTAGAAATATACAAAAATCTGTTTTTGCAACTGGTAAATTGATTTTGAAACCACTTAAGGAAAAGGGACACCAGTTTGTCCACATGGATACAATAGTAAGTGTGCTTTTTTCTTATTTTTATAAAACTGACTGTGTAAAAAGGAGATCTTAGTGTGGTTGGAAGGAACATATGAAACTGATGGGTTTTCCAGGGGCTTTCCCTCCCTTAATGCACATAAATGTTAATGAATCATTTGCTAGAGGTACTTTGCATGCACATTGCCCTCTGTGTCATACTAAATCTTTATGTCTATGTGAACTTACTGTCTAGATCTTGCAGGCAAGACAGAAGTATCAAATAAATAAGATGACCCCATCCCCCTTTTGAGGTGTGCATCTTATTTTTCAGCAGTGTGGGGGAAAAAAGGGATTGCAGTTCTGCCAGCTTATTTTGGTTTTGTCATGGTTTGAATCTTGTTTTCCCCCAGAGGCTAAAAAAAGTGGTAGACCCCAAGGGGTGGAAACCCTTGGAAGTTTTGAAGTTCTGCCCAATGGGCGCGCCTGCAAAAATGTAAACATACCACAACCACACCGGAAAGGAGAGTTGTAAGTTTGGTTGTTTAGGAGAGGTGGCCATGTAGTAGAGCCACGAGGAAGGGGCTCTAAGCCCCTTGGGCTCTCTGGGCCTCCCAGCCCCTGGCTGGGGGGCTGCGGGGACCTGGAACAGCATAAAGCTGGGCTAGGTGCCTGTAGTTATGCCGGGAGATGTTTTCTCCATGGGCGCAGAGCAGCAGCTGACACTGACCAGAGAAACGGTGGTAGAGAGCCAGAGATAAGAACCTGAGCTGAAGGAGCAGCAGAAGCAACATGCAGCACCAGAGAAAGGACTCCTGGAAGGAGAGCCGGGAAAAAGAGAGCCAGCAGAGAGACAGAGTTTGGGGTAAGACTGTACCAGCCCCCCAAAACTCCCTTGAGACCCCTCTTGGAGAAGAGGGACATGGACTCCTATTTTGGAGAGCAGTTTTGGACATGCAGCACTAGAGAGAGAGAGGAGCTGAGAAGCTCAGAGACGTCCCGGAGCTGGACCGGGACGGCCAGATGGAATGCGGGGGGAGTTGACCTTGGCTCCCCCCTTGCACTGCTGCCACGGTGGCAGCCTGAGAGGCAGGGCACAGAGATCCTGCAAGAGATACCAGACCGTCACGAAGACCCCCCTGTGTCTTCGTGATATGACGTGGTGATACGACCTTGTCTGGGGTTACGAAGCCCACGGAAGACCCCTTTGCCTGCATCAAGGGGGCCAAGGGAGCGAGCTTGGATATCTCCCTCATGAGTGCTGGCAGAAAGCCAGCTATCAGCTGCTGCATGTGGGGAAGACAGACAGAACCTGCTGCCTTAGAAGATGCTGCTGCTTAAGGACTGGAAGGGATCTGTCCTTCTTTCTCTCCTGGACTTTTATTTGGAGGGGAGAGGAGATCTGATCCATTGTAAATACTATATGTCATGGTAGAGATAGTTATGATTGTGTGTATAATGTGATATGATATTTATTTGTACAGTCATTGTAATATATTCCCTTTCCCCCACTTTGAGTCTGGCGTGTTTTGTCTGGAAAAGCCCATCTCACATTAGGTTGAGATGTGGGAGGGGGATGGAGCTAGGGAATTGGATTTTGGGACTATCTCAAACCATGACAGGTTTTTATCTTTGTTACAACATGTGTGCAAATGTTTTCTTGGATAACTTTCTTAAATGTTTGCAAAGGAAGCATTGCTAATCTTAGAATCCCTTGGCTTTCATTAAGGCTTTCCATATTATCCGTGGCAAAATTATTGTTACATTACATAAGACATCATATTATCTGACTACAGGAGACTCCTTCTATGTTCCTCCAGGTGAGTACATGTGTCTAAAACCAATTTGTTGGAGGTGGTTGAGACTGAATTAGCGTGCTAGGAGTCAAAACCAAACTTAGTGACTGAAAGAGAGATGTAATAGAGAGTGGGAAGGTATAGGGCCATCACTTAGGCACCATGCCATACGCCGATTTTGTATTGGCAGGCTAGTCCAGGCATTCACCTGCTCTTACATCTTCATTCCTCTTGCCAGTGGGAATGCAGTTTGGCACCAGCTGGTTTTGGCACAGAGGTCTAGCATGGCAGCACATGCCCACTGCTGCAGATGTGGGTGTGGATGTAAGTGCCCTCTCACACCCTGTTGCTGCTTGACTATTCAGGTAAATGCCAGGACAAAATAATCTTCCTGGGCTTTGATGTTTCTGCGGTGTCTAAGAGGGAGTCTAGACTGAATGAGTTGCAAAGCTTGGGTGGCCCCTCAGGATCAGCTTCATACACTTCTCTTGGAGATGGAGCTGAGACCTGCCAAGCTTATTTGATATATCCTTCCATATGGAACTGCCCTGTCTACATAGTTCAGAACCTTTTATCTCTGTTCTGTCTTACCCACTGCCATGGGTGGGAGTGTGTATTTCTAAAGCATGTTAGAGTATTTGTGTACACCCTTGGCATCCTCACTGTTGTGGTAGCTGTGGAGAGGTCAAGAGGTACAGAAAAGATCAGGAGACAGAAGCTCGTATGTGGCGAAAGAGAGCTTACCTGTATCCAGTGCAACTGGATACAGGTGGTCCTGCTTGAGCAAAGTGTTGGACCAAATGCCTTCCAGAGCTTCTCTCCAATCTCAGCCATCCTGTGAAGTCGGAGACTCCCATGCTGTGGAAGCTGCTCTTCTAGAAGTATAGTTCATGCTTGTACTGGGAAGACCCTGATGCTTTACACCTCAACTGGAAAGCAGCCTTTTCCATGTTGCACAGCAGGCCATCCGTGTGGGGTGTGCCAGAGCGCTTGGCTGCTGGTGAATGGCCACTGCTATCCATTTCTTCACAGTAAAGGACAAAAGGTGCATGCTGAGTTGTTGCTGCAGCTGTCAGCTTTGACTTCCCCTTTCTGGTCTTTGCCCTGAGGAGTCTCTCTAAGGCAGACACATACCTGGGTTTGATGAGAAGTCCACTGCTCAGTTTGAGCGAATTAGCTAACAATCTTCTGCACGTAACATTTTACAAAAATGTATTTTGATAGTGTTATTTCCACTTAAAATTTTTAACAGCAGTCTTCATTCTGTGCGGGCTTTAAACCAGCTTGAAATTTGGCATCTTTTGCAGTCCAGGCTATCAAGTGGCTGCTTTTCCCATATAACTCTACATGTGGAGTAGCAGTCCTCAGCTGTGACTTGGTGTGGTGAGTTGCATCAGACGTTATTATTCTCTCAGCAACAGTTTTAATTCTTGGATATTTTCCCAACTGTAAGCAGTTTTGCGTGACCTTTGGGGCTGTGGACCAGAGATTGGGGACGGTTTGGGTAAACCTGAGTTTAAATGAATTAAAATACACACAAGATTTCTATAAAAATAACATGAAACTCATATGTACGCTAAATACTGAGGCCTCTAAGTCCTTCACAGAATACAGCTTTTTGAATTAGAAATAGCATAAGAAAATACATGCAGAGCAAGTGTCAATGCCACAACCAGGTGTGATTTTGAGAGCTTCAAATTTTGCACAGATGAACACATTTGTCAGAGACCACTGTTAGTTAAATTAAATTAGGCTAATGTGCTCTTTTGAGCATAATTGAAATTATACTAATATTTTTATTGATTTGGCACCGAAGTAGGTGAATGCTCTGATGTCCTTGCTGCTGTGAGTACAATTTGCTGTTGTTCACTTTACTGTCTGGTAATTCCCCACTATTATGGCACAGATAGGCCTATTTTTAACTGTGTTCATTTGAACGAATTTCTGTTCTTTTTATAATTTAGACCAAAAGCAAGAAATACATTGTTGGATACCTCTTCCCCATAATTTTACCTGCAAATTGAAGATCATATAATGCAAAGGAATTCTGAAGAACACTGAAGGTTTTCATCTGACACTCCAGTTTTAGGGGCAGGTTGTTTCATTGATCTTAAAGATCTTTCTTCTGTGTAAATAGTAAATACATCGCTTGTTGCAAATTATTTTTTCCTTTGTATCAATAAATATTAAGTAATGCAAATCAGTTTTGATCTCTTTGATTTTAAATAACTTTAGAATTGATTTTCTAGCTTTCCATGTGGTTTTGAAAATGCAGGTAGTTGTATGAGTTTTACTTGTAAATATTTATAGCTAATGTAAGTTATCTTGAGTGGCTTCAAAAATGCCACCAAATGAAATTTTTCATCTGTTTCTTTGGAGTTGTTTAAACTTCATGGTATTAAACAAACCTAAGATATCTTTGCAGTTTCATGGAATCAAAGGGGGGAAAAAAAGAATTAAACCCAATGACCAGAAACCATTGGATCGAACATTTCTTTAATATGTCAGCTGGGGATACATGGGGTACTCTACCATGCATGGATCAAAGATCTAGTATAAATTTCGGAATATAAATACAGTGACGCTTGAAAGACCCCTTCCCCTTCAACAGCAGTGAAGAATTAGGTGATGATTTTGAGGTCAAATAGCATCTTGGGTTTTATTAGTGCAGCAAGACTGCCATCTAGTGTCCATTTCTTCGGGGGGGGGCAGTCATGTTCGGAGAGTGGTCTTCTGGCTAATCAGGCCTCGTAGCATTTCTGCACAGAAAGCTCTCACTGTTCAAGGAGGCCCCAGGTTGACAAACCAACTGCACCACAAAGCCAGAGCTTCCAGGCTTTCTTTCCTGCCGATAAGGGCTGTCATTTCCTGTTTTCAGAACTGCCTCCCAACTGCCAGACCAACTCCTAAAATTGCATATAAACAAGGATTCCTCCCACACCAAAGGTGCCGGCACAGAAATCTTTTGCTGCTCCTGGACTCCCCAGGTTGACAAATCAACTCCACGACAAAGCCGAAGATTGCTGGCTTTCTTTCCTGGCGATAAGGGCTATTGTTTCCTGTTTTCAGCGCTGCCTCCCAACTGCCAGACCAACTCCCAAACTTGCATACGGACGAAGATTCCTCCCACACCAAAGATGCCAGCACAGAAAGCTCTTGCTCCCCAGGGAGTGTCCAGGGTGAAAAACCAACTGCACCACAAAGCCAAAGCTTTTAGGCTTTCTTTCCTGGCGATAAGGGCTGCCATTTCCTGTTTTCATCCCTACCTCTTAACTGACATATCGACCCCCAAAATTGCATACAAACAAAGATTCATCACACAGCTAAGGTGCCAGTACAGAAAGCTCTTGTTCCACATGGAGTCTCCATGCTGACAAACCAACTGCACCACAAAGCCAAAACTTGCAGGCTTTCTTTCCTGGGGATAAGGGCTGTTGTTTCCTGTTTTCAGACGTGCCTCACAACTGACAGCCCGACTCCAAAAACTGCATATAAACAAAGACTCCTCCCACACCAAAGAGGCCAGCACAGAAAGCTCTTGCTGCCCATGGAGTGCCCAGAATGACACACAAGCTGCACCACAAAGCCAAAACTTGCTGACTTTCTTTCCTGGCGATAAAGGCACTTTATTTCCTGTTTTCAGACCCACCTCCCAAGTAACAGCCCGACTCCCAAAATTTCATAAAAATAAAGATTCCTCCCACACCAAAGGTGCCGGCACAGAAAGATCTTGCTGCTCACGGATGCTCCAGGCTGACACACCAACTGCACCACAAAGCCAAAGCTTCCAGATTTCTCTTTTGCTGGCGTGGGGAGACTCCTGCATTTTCGTCCAGGGTACAATATTTTGACAATTTTTGAGGAGCACGAGAGGCATAATATCCCTCCGGGCTCAGCACGCCGGGTCAGCCTCTCTGCAACCTCCGTGAGGAGATCTCTTCTGTGTCCCTCCTCCTGCTCCTCTTGCTCAGAGGACCAGGGAACAGCCTGTCACATCTGAACTGGATGTGCTGGAAGCAACACATCTGCAGCAGGTGGAGGGGTACTCCGAGGCGGGACTTCATGGTATTAAACAAACCCTAAAAGATATATTTTTAATTTCATGGAATCAAAGGGGGAAAAAAAAAGAATTTAATCCAATGACCAGAACTATTGGCTTGAACATTTTTTAATATGTCAGCTGGGGATACATGGGGTACTCTGCCATGCATGGATCAAAGATCTAGTATAAATTTCGGAATATAAATACAGTGACGCTTGAAAGACCCCTTCCCCTTTCACCAACAGTGGAGAATTAGGTGATGATTTTGAGGTCAAATAGCATCTTGGGTTGTATTCGTGGAGCAATACTGCCATTTGGCGTCCACTTATTCGGGGGGGCAGTCATGTTCAGAGAGTGGTCTTCTCGCTAATCAGGCCTCGTATCGTCTCATATCTTATCTCTATCCGACCTCTAACTCCTAAATTAAATGTTCTAGGACCAACTAAGACATGTGTCTTAGAAGTTCCCGTTTATTTAAACAATATTTAATTGACTTCCTGAATGTGCCTGAGTGTGTCTGAGTGTGTCTGAGTGTGTCTGGGTGTGTGTGACTGTTTTTAATTTTGTCTGAGTGTGTTTAAGTGTGTCTGTCTGTGTGTGTGTCTGAGTGCGTCTGAACGTGTGTGAGGGAGTGTGTCTGGGTGTGTGAGGGTGTGTATCTGAGTGTGCGAGTGTGTTTGCAGTTGTGTCTGAGCATGTGCGAGTGTGCCTGAGTGTTTCTGAGTGTGTCCGAGTGTGTCTGAGTATGTCTGAGTGTGTCTGAGTTTGTGTGAGTGTGTGTAAGTGTGTCTGTGTGTGTCTGGGTTTACCTGAGTGTGTCTGAGTGTGTTGGAGTGTATCTGAGTTTGTCTGGGTGTGTCTGAGTGTGTCTCAGTGTGCATGCGTGTGCCTGAATATGCCTGGTCTGATTGTTTATCAGTGTTTGCAGTTGTGTCTGAGTTTTTGCAATTGTGTCCAAGTGTGTCTGAGTGAGTCTGAGTGTGCCTGACTGTGTTTGAGAGTGTGAGAGTGTGTCAGATTGTGTCTGAGCATGAGGGAATGTTTCTGTGTTTGTGCGACTGTGTCTAAGTGTGTCTGAGGGCGCCTCTGTGTTTACAGTTTTGTCTGACGGTGTGTGAGAGTGTCTGAGTGTTTCTGTCTGAGTGGGTCTGAGTATGTGCAAATGTTTCTATATCCGGATGTGTGGGAGTGTACTTGAGTGTGTCTGAGTGTGTCTCAGTGTGTTTGAGTGTGCTCAATGGTGTCTGAGTGTGTGCTTGTCTGTCTGTGCATCTCTCAGTGTGCCGTAGTGTGTCTGAGCGTGTCTGTGTGTGTGAGTGTGTGTGAGTTTGTACCAGTGTGTCTGTCTGGGTTTGCCTGAGTGTGTCTTTGTCGGAGCGTATATGAATGTGTCTGGGTGTGGGCGAGTGTGCCTGTCTGAGCGTATCTGAGTGTGAGGGAATGTGTTAGGGTGTTTTCAGGAATGTGTATAAGTGTGTCTGCGTGTGCGAGTGTGTTCGCAGTTGTTTCTGAGTGTATGCGAGTGTGTCCAAGTGTGCCTGAGTGTGTCTGAATGTGTCTTAGTGTGTCTGGCTTTGTGAGAGTGTTTCTGAGCGTGTCTGAAAATATCTGTGTGTGTGCGAATGTGTCTGGGTGTCTGGAGTGTGTCTAAGTGTGCGTGAGTGTGTCTGAGAGTGTGTGAGTGTTTCTGAGTGTTTCTGAATGTGTCCGGATGTGTTTGAGTGTGCGTGAGTGTGTCTGGTGTACCTGAGTGTTTCTGAGGGTGTCAGAGTGTATCTGAATGTGTCTCGGTGTGTCTCAGTGTGCGTGAGTGTACCTGAGCATATAGTTATGGGTCTGATCCTTTGGCAGTGTTTGCAAGTGTGTCTGAGTGTATGCGATTGTGTCTGAGTGTGTCTAAGTGTGCCTGGCTTTGTGAGAGTGTGTCTGAGTGTGTCTGAGAATATCTATGTGTGTGCAAATATCTCGGGGTCTGTGGGAGTGTGTCTGAGTGTGCCTGAATGTGTCTGAGAGTATGTGAGTGTTTCTGAGTGTGTCTGAATGTGTGTGAATGTTTTTGAGTGTGTCTGGATTTGTGGGAGTGTGCTTGAGTGTGTTTGAGTGTGTCTGAGTGTGTTTGACTGTGCTCAAGTGTGTCTGAGTGTGTGCGAGTGTGTCTGAGCATCTCTCGGTGTGCCTGAGTGTGTCTGAGTGTGTCTGGGTGTGTGGGACAGTGCTTGAGTGTGTCTGAGTGTGTCTGAGTGTGAGCTAGTGTGTTTGAATTTGTGTCTGAGCAGGTTCGAGTGTGTCTGAGTTTGTCTGAGTGTGTGTGAGTGTGTGTGAGTGTGTGTGAGAATATCTGTGTGCGTGCCAATGTGTCTGGGTGTGTGCGAGTGTGTCTGAGTCTGCCTGTGTCTGAGTGTCTTTGAGTGTGCTCAAGTGTGTCTGAGTGTGTGCGAGTGTGTCTGAGCGTTTCTCAGGGTGTCTGAGTGTGTCTGAGTGTGTCTGAGCATATCTGAGTGTGAGCGAATGTGTCTGGGTGTGTGCGAGTGTGTCTGAGTCTGCCTGTGTCTGAGTGTCTTTGAGTGTGCTCAAGTGTGTCTGAGCGTGTGCGAGTGTGTCTGAGCGTTTCTCAGTGTGTCTGAGTGTGTCTGAGCATATCTGAGTGTGAGCGAATGTGTCTGGGTGTGTGCGCGTGTGTCTGTGTCTGAGTGTGCGAGTGTTTGCAGTTGTTTCTGAGCGTATGCGAGTGTGTCTCAGTGTTTTTGAGTGTGTCTGAGCATGTCTGAGTGTGTCTCAGTGTGTCTGAGTGTGTGTGAGTGTGTGCAAGTGTGTCTAAGCGTGTCGGAGTGTATCTCAGTGTATCTGGGTGTGTGAGGGTGTGTCTCAGTGTGCGTGAGTGTGCCTGAGCATACATTTATGGGTCTGACTGTTTGACAGTGTTTGCAGGTGTGTCTGAGTGTATGCTATTGTGTCTAAGCGTGTCTGAGTGTTTCTGAGTGTGTCTGAGTGTGTCTAAGTGTGTCTGGCTTTGTGAGAAAGTGCCTGAGTGTGTCTGAAAATATCTGTGTATGTGCGTGTCGGAGTGTATCTCTGGCAGGAGTGACGTGTGAGTTTCTTGTCCCACTGCAGGCATTACTGCTCAGATCCAGGGTTGCCTGGCATCTCCCCCCAGGCAGCCCTGAGCATTTCCTTTGCTTCATCTTGTCTTTTTCCTTTTTCTCTGCTCACAACTTACTGCCACTGACCATCCCTGTATCTCCCCCTGCAAAAAGCCCGTGTCTGTTTGCCCTTCCCTCCCTGGCCCCACTTGGCATCACAGGAACATGCACCTTGGGGAGCAAGATCATCCAACAAGCGCTTCATTAATAGTCTGTAGTGCCCTGCAGTGCCTCGGGCTGTTCCCTTGCCAGAGGCACCCCAGGCCAAGGTGAGCCCCCTGCACACACATATTGACAGCTGCCCCAGAGAGCCTCAGTGCTGGGAACTCTGAAAAACTCTGGGATTCGGCACATGGAAAGCTCCCAGGGCTTTACAGGGAAAAATGATCAGTCCTTTACTGGGCCAGAATGGCCCCAGAGCTGAGGGCACAGTGGGCTCTGCTCAGCCACCTGAGGAGCAGGGCTGGGGTGTTATGAGGGAGGCCAGACAAGCCAGAGGTGCTGCTGCCCTTGAATTAGAGTAGCTGCAGCAGGGCCAGTGGAGCCACCCAAAGCACAGATTGTCACGCCCTAGACCCGGTTCTGCTGTGGCCACATCTGGACTGGTGTGCCTGGGTGTGGGGTTCCCTATTCTGGAATAATGAGAAGGAACTGGAGAGGCTCTGGAGGACTGACAGGAGGGGGTTTGGGGCCTGTGTGGAGAAGCTGAGGGACATGGGCTGCTGTACCTTTCGAAAAGGAGGCCCAAGGCTCTGCAGGAGTATCTGGTACTGCTGGAAGAACAGTTTGAGAGATAATGGAGTTTTTATTGGTACTGGAAAGAGAAGGAAACCCACAAAGTACAATTTGGAATGTTCAGACTGAAAGTGATGAAAAAGAAGAATCACTCAAAAGGGCAAGAGGTCACCCAGAGAAGAGTCAGGATAATCCCATGGTTTTGTGTTTCAGGGAACAGCCAGGGATGGGTGCAAAGGCATCAGTGAGGGTCTAGTAATTCTGCTGGGAGGGGGGTGGGAAAGCAGGAGGGATGTGTGCAGCCTGCAAGGCCAGAGCAACAGCAGGGACAGGGCAGGACAAGCCTGCAGGAGAGATGGCCAAGGGCTCTGGCAGGGCTGCAAGGCCCAAAGGCACCCAGGCCTTTGTCCCCTTGTCTCTGGCAGCTGCCTCTGCCACTCAGCCCACCACAAGCAACTTTCCTGGCAGGTTCTGCCCTTGGTTTCTGCCTCGTCCCTCCCTGAGGATCCTGGGAGGGGTTGCACAGGTTTTGGCCTTTGTTGTTCCTCCCCCTCCCATCCCACTGCCCTCCAAGCAGCCCTGAGCCACCCAGGAAGGACAGAATCTTCTGTGCCAGGGCCTGGGGCTCAGGTCTTGGCCTTCCTGCTCCACAAAACCAAGGCAGGCTTTGCTCAGCATTGCAGGGGCCTGCCCAGAGCCTTTGTCTGCCTCCACTCCTGGCCTCCAAGGATCTGCTCTAAGGAGTCCCTGGGGAGGCTTTGTCAGTGGGGCCCATTGACACTTCAAGAGACTTGCAGTTTGGTTTCTGACTCCTCGAGCAGCTTCTTCAATACCTGGGGACCATGGACTCAGCCCCAAGTACACCATGGGGCTCGTTAAAATACAGAAAGCCCTCACAAGTTCTTTCTCCTCCTTTAATTATCTTCAAGTCTTTAAGACTTTTACAGCCGACTGGAGTCTGTCTGAAGTGTTGTTAAGGAGGAAGATTTCAAAGAGCATGTCATGAAATATATAATTTTTTTTAATGAAAGGGAATATTTTGTTACTTTTCAGTTTAGAGAGAGGTGATAGAAGCATTCTCCAAGTGATGTTGATACTATCTCCTCGGGAGGTCTGGACAGTCCCTTGAGGGGCTGACCCTGTTTGGACAACCTTCCTCCTCACCCCCCAACCTCTCCATTTCTGACATTGCCCACTTGGGACTGACATCACTGTTCTTGTATCAGACTTCTCCTGATCTCTACAGCTGGATGTTAACAGGCCCATGGCACCATCTCCCACCTGCTCTCTTCAAAGATCTGCCCGCACACAGGCCCAGCAGAGTTTTTTTTAACAAAAGGAAATTAAGTATGAGAGGGTTTCATAAACACCAAAACACCCTCAGTAACCACATGCTCAGTACCAGCTGTCTCTAATGATGTCATCTTCCTGCAAGGGATGATCTTATCAGAAAGGTTTTAGATAGATAGATAGAAAAGGTATATAGGAACATAAAAAAGAGCTGTCCGGGCAGACAGGTTCCCAAAGGACAGGAGAGCTTTTAACTGCTGGAATCTCAAGCGAGCAGCAGCTGGCAAGCTGAGAGGTGTCTGAAGGAACAAATCATGGTATTATAGAATATCTCAAATTGGTTAAACCTCTGTTTCCCTTTGTGAACCTGGGCTGACCGTGCCTGATGTTGACGTTGTCCTCCATGGTCCCTTTAATAGCACCCACTATCGCAGGATCATAGACTTTCTCAAATTGGAAGGACTCATAAGGATCCACGAGTCCCTGCTGCTTTCAGGACCACATAAAATGAAATCATAGGACTAAGAGCATCATCCATACATTCCTTGAGCTCTGGTAGGCCTGGTAACCACTTCTCTGGGGAGCCTGTTCCAGTGACTAACCACTTTCCGGGTGAAGAACCTTTTCCCAATGTCCTGTCTGAACTTCCTCTCATGCAACCTCATTCCATTTCCTTGAGTCCTGTCACTGGTGACAGAGAGAGACCAGCCCCTCCATCCACTGCCCCCTTTGAGACAGTCGTAGATGGCAATGAGGTCACCCCTCACCCTTCTCTTCTCCAGGCTGGACAAACCAAGTGACTGCAGCTTCACCTTGTAAGTTCTGCCCTCGAGGCCTTTCACCACCTTGGTTACTCTACTCTGGACACCCTTTGATGTCCTCCTTATATTGAGGTGCCCAGAACTGCCCCCAGGGCTCAAGGTGAGGCTGCCCCAGTGCAGTCCCAGAGATGCTGGACCTGATGGCCCCCAGGACACGGGGGGCCCTTTGACTGCCAGGGCAAGCTGGTGATATATCTTACCTTCCACCCAAACCCCCAGATCTCTCTGTGGGGCAACTCTCCAGACTCTCATCCTCAGCTGTGTCTGTCAAACCAGAATCACCCCAGCCCAGGTGAAGGATCTGGCACTTGCTCTTAAGAGGTGTTTAGGACACAGTGTCCATCCAGTAACCAACCTGCAGGCTCTCAGGGCTCCCCAGTATCTGATCCAGGCATATGGTCTCTAGACTAACTAGATCTCAGGCCTCTTTTTATATTTAATGGGGGATGAGCCAAAGCTGGGATGAGGTGCCCTGTGTTGACCCTTTGTCAGTGCTGGTGCAAGTGTCTGAGGTGTCAGCTCAGACCCACCTTGTCAGAGTCCTTGGAGAATGGCTCATAGTGGTAGGACTCTACCCAAAGCATCGTGCACACATGTGGGTGCTTCTTTTGGTTTGTATTTAAGCAAAGTCCTGTGTTTAATTCACTCCAAGGAGTGCAGTAAAACCTCCCCCCAGTTTTGGCTTTCTCTATATGTCTGTGCTTCATTAAGAAATGCTCCGAAACAATCTCAGTCAGAAGCTCCCTGTATTCTGACGGCAGAAAGATTAGGAAAACCAGAGAAATGCTTTCTTGTGCTTACTTTTTTTGATAAACTTTTGACTTTGACAGCACCCATGAAACTGCTCCAATCAACCATGTGAGAAATGAGGAAACAAACTCCAGAGCTGTGGTGTGTTTGGGCACTTTGCCTGTTCCTGCTCCCTGTGGTGCTGAATCCCTGAATTGCACATTGGGAACAAATGTCCTGAGAAGTCAAAGTCAGCAACGACCCCCAAGATCCTGAGGGTGTTAACTGGCCCCACTGAGGGTCATCACTGAAGAGACCAGTGAGGTCCTGACTGGTAAGCTGACCATCCCTCGGGGCTGGTGAAGCAGGAAGTCAGAGGCAAGGGCTAGAGCTGGAAATGTGGGGGTGGAACAGTCCCAGCCCCACCAAGGCCCTTGGTTGTCACTGCCCCAGACTGTCCTACTCTCCCCTGTGCCTGTGCTGTTTCCCTGCACGCTTTAACCACCCCTCTGCTTCCCAAACTCATTCTTACCCCAGGATGTGCCAAGACTTACTGATATCATTCTGTCCTCACTGGTTGTTGCTTTAAACACCAGTCTGTCATTACTTTAGGATTTCCCCATGCCTCTGAGTTTCCCATAGCCCATCCAGTTCCTTTAAAGCCCAATTCATGCTCCTCTATCATCCAGCGCATCCCAGCCCCGAACTCAAGCCCTCACTCCGCATCCCAGCACTGAAATAAATGTTCTGTTTTCTCTCCCCTGTCCAGGTGATGAGGGGAGTGACAGAGTGTCTCTGGGGGAACCTGGCATCCAGCCAGGGTGTCCCCCCCACAGCCCCCACAGCTTCCAGGACCCTCTCAGCACAACCACTCCCAATCCCCAGCTCAACCCCCTTCCAACCTCCCTCCACCATGCCCCTCCCAATGGTGACAGGCAAGTCCCAGTTTCCTGGAGACCTCCAGTGATGGCCTCCCTCCCCCCCAGAACTGGATCCTAGATACCTGGGCCCCCATCCCCCAGTTCTGTCTCCCATCCAGTTCTGGGTCTCCCCCAGTTCTCTCTCGCCCAGTTCTGCATCCTCCCAGCCCAGTTCTGTCTCTTCCCCAGTTTGGGATCCCCTCCAATTCTGGTTTCCCCCCCCAAGGTCATCATCCCCCAGCATCACCCACAGTTCTCTGCCTCCCCTAGTTCTGTCCCCACCCCTGTTCTGTCTCGCATTCAGTTCTGTCCCCCTCCAAATTCTGCTTCCATCCAGTTCCGGGTCCCTCCCGGTTCCTTCCCCCCTACCCTAAAATCCTGTCTCCCCCCCAGTTCTGTCTCCTCCCGTTCTGGGTCGCAGAAGCCCAGAGCCCCCTGGTTCTGTGTGGGAAGTCTGTCACCCTCCCACCACAGGAAGGAAATGCGGGGGTGGGGTAACACGGGGTGACAGTTACAGCATGGCGGTCGTGGGGCACAGTGGCATCATCAGCATTGTCTTCGGGGTGCTGTTGGCCAGTATGGGGGCACTTGGGGCCCTGACCCATGGGGGGATGGGGGTCTCTATCCCACAGCAGGGGAGGTGGGGAGCCCTGACCCACTGTGGGGGGGGTGGGAGCAGCTAGATGCCCAGATCCTTCCCATGCTCGGGAGAAGGAAGTGAAGCCCCATGTTGGCGCCATGAGGCCTGATGATGGGTGCCCCCTGCTTATGGGGCTCAGCGACCTGGGACCCCCAGTTATGGTGCTCAGAGAACTGGCTTCCCTCGGTGTGCTCATTTGGGGGGGCTGTGGGGGGCACGGGGGCTCCTCTCACCCCTTCCCCCTCTCTTGCCCCATAGCACTGCCCCACATCGGAGCTTTCAGCATCCACCCAGTCCCACATCGGGTCCTGACCCCCGACCAGGGCCGGAGCTTCAGGCACCAGGTGTTGCTGCTGGATGGGGCCCAGTAGGAGACTCAGGCCTGGACACCTGTATCCCCCAGTTGTGGGGCCCCCCTGGCCCCAGGGATTGGGGGTCCCGGGTGGCTGGGACGCCCTGCCCCCCCCTCTCTCCAGAATGCTGGTGGGGGCCCCGGCAGAGGTGGGAGATGGGGGGCGGCTGTTCCAGTGCTCGGTGCAAAGTGGGGAGTGCCAGAAGGTGCAGCTGGAAGGTGGGAATGGGGGCATTAGGAGGGATTGGGGTGCCATTAGGGATGGGTGTGGGGTGAAATTAGAGGTGGGGATGGGCTGGGATTACAGGTAGGGTTGAAGTGGAATTAGGGGTGATTTGGGTGAGATTAGGATGAGAGTGGGGTGGGGGTGGGTTAGGGAGAACTGGGAGTGGGTGGGGTTAGAGTGGGGTGAGATTAGGGTGGGATTGGGATGGGATTAGGGATTGGATTAGGGTTGGGGGTGGAAGGGATTTGGAGATGGGTTTTGAGTGGGAGTGAGGTGGTACTGGAGTGGGATTAGGGTGGGATTAGGGTGTGGGTGGGGGTGTGGGTAAGGTGGTTTTAGGGGTGGGTTTGGAGTGGGGACAGGATTAGGGTGTGATGAGGATGAGGTTATAATAGGTGGTGGGGTTGGGAGGGGGTGGGGATGAGGTGTCATTTAAAATGGGGGAGGGGTAAGATTAGGGCAGGATCGAGTCTGGATTAGGATGAGATTGGGACAGGATTAGGAATAAACCCCATCCCCAGGGAACAGCACCGGGACCCACATAGGAATGGCCTTGGCCCAGGATGGTGATATCACAATTGTGAGTCCAACAGTTTCCCCACCCAGGGGAACAATATCACAACTGTGAGTCCAATAGTTTCCCCGCCCATCCCACCCCCCTTCCCCTCAGCTCCACCCCTTGCCCCTTTCTTCCCCCTCCCCAGGCCTTTGGCCCCGGCTCAACCCACATCTGCGATCACAATGTCTACAAGAACGGGGTCTGTGTCCTGCTGGACCCCCAACTGAGAACACGGCAGGAACTGATGCCTGGATACCAAGGTGAGGAACCCGCCCCAGTGATTGTCCCCCACCCCATGGAGAACAGGGTCACCTCATGGTTGACCCACGGTGGCCATGATGCTTGACCCTGGTGGTTGACCTGTGGTTGACCCAGGGCTGACCCATAGGGACCATGGTTGACCCATGGAGGCCATCATGGACCCACAGTGACCCTGGCTGACCCATGGGGCCATTGAGCCATTCCCTGTGCCCCCCCTACCCTGGTGCTGAAACCCCAGTGCCCCCCCCGACCCCAGGCTGCCAGTAGGGCCCGGTGGACCTGGTGTTCCTGTTCAATGACTTCAGCAGCATGAGCACCTCCCAGTTCAAGGTCATCCGGGACTTCATGGTGGATGTGATGGAGAAGCTGCAGAACACCTTGATCCATGTACGCCCCGGGTGGGCGTGGGCAGGGGTGGGAGTTCAGTGGGGTGATGTGCAGGGGGAAATGGCGTGGTGTGGGGCCTACAGGGGCCAGTATAGGGGATGGGGGCCATAGGGGGCACTGTGGGGTATGGGATCTATAGGGGGGACTATGGGGACTATGGAGGTACTGTGGGGGATGGGGGCCATAGGGGGCACTGGGGGGGATGCAGGTGGAGGCTATGGTGGCAATGTGGGGGCAGGAGCTATAGGGGGCACTACAGGGGGATTGGGGGATGGAGGCACTGTGGGAGGGGACTATAGTGGGCACTGTGGTGAGGGAGGCTATAAGGGGCAGTGTGGGGGATGGGGGCAATCGAGGGCATTATGGGGATGGGAGCTACAAGGGGTACTGTGGGGATGGGGTCCCTGGGGGCACTGTGGGGGCACCGGGGGCAATGGGGGACTATGGGGGGCTCTGGGCCCACGGTGGGCTGGACACTCAGAGCAGCCCCTGTGGGCAGTTCGGGGCGGTGCAGTTCTCGAACAGGGTCCAGACCGTGTTTACGCTGAAGGAATTCGCAGCCCGGCCACAGCCCCAGGAGCTGCTGCAGGTGCTGGAACAGCGCTGGGGCCTCACCAACACCTTCGCTGCCATCGGCTTCGTCACGTGAGACATACCCTGCCCCGCAGCTGCCCCACTGCCCCCCGCTGCCCTCCACTGTCCCCCCTTGTCCTGGCCACCCCTTATGCCCCACACCATCCTCCACTCCCTCTCGCCACCCTGCAGCACTGCCCTCCTAATGCCATCTCTGTGCCCCACTGCCACCCCCACAGCAGGGCAGTACCCCCACTGCTGGCCCCCAGAACCACCCTGATCCCCATTGCACCCCACTGCCACGCCCCACTCCCCCTTTGCCCCACTTCTGCCCCACCCCATTGCACCCCACTGACTGCTGCCCCTGTGCACCCCTGCACCCCACTGCCAACCTCCAGCACCCGCCTGTGCTCCACTGCTGTCCCTTGGCTGCTCCCCACCACCCAGCACCCCATTGTCCCCCTGCTGTCCCCCCACTGCCCCTCCTCTGCCTCACTACTGCTCCACTGTTGCCTCCCTGCTGCCCCTCCAGTGCCACCTACTGAGCCCCATTGTTCCCCCAGCTGTGCACTGAGTGCCCCCATCCCCCACTGCTGCCCAGAGCTGCCTTCCAGCACCCTCAGCACCCCTCTGTCCTCTGAATCTGCCCTGTAACCCCACCACAGCACCCTACTGCCAGCCCCAGCCCCCAAACCCATAGTGACACCCCAGCCCTCTCTGCACCCCCCACTGTGCCCCCAGCCCCCAATTACCCCCAGCTCCCACCACACCCCAAAATCCTCAATTACCCCCAGGCCCCACTATCCCCCAGCCCCTCAACCCCCCCCCATCCCCCAGTGCCCCTGCCCCCCAGAACAAGCCCCGGTGCCCCCCACCCGCCCGGTGCTCCCCGCTGCAGCCCCATCAGTGCCCGGTGGCTGCAGGAAGGAGCTGTTCTCGGAGGAGGCGGGGGCGCGGCTGGGGTACGGCGGATCCTGGTGATGATCACTGATGGTGATGCCACCGACCACGACCCAAAGGCCCTGGACGCGGCCGAGGAGCGTGGGATCCACCGCTACATCATCACGGTGGGTGGGCAGGGGTGTGGCCGTGGTGGGTGTGGCTGTGAGGCCATGATGGAGCTTGACATGGTGGGCATGGTCAGGTGTTGGCGTGGTTATGGTGGGACTGGTAGTGGTGTGGGTATGGCCATTGTGTGGGAGTGGTCATTGTGTGGGTGTGGTCATTGTGTGGGTGTGGTCATTGTGTAGGCATGGCCATGGTATGGGCTTGGCCATTGTGTGGGTGTGGTCATTGTGTGGGCATGGCCATTGTGGGAATGGTCATGACTGGGTGTGTTATTGGGTGGGAGTGGTAAGTAGGTGTGGTTGGGGTGGACGTGGTCACAGTGGGCATGACCAGTGGTGGGTGCAGCACACTTGGGGGATGGGATCCAACTTTGGAGTAGGGGTGAGACCCACATCTGTGGGACGGGACCCACACTTGGGGGGCAGAGGGGAACCAGTACTTGAGGGGGAGAACGTAGTTTTGGGTGTGGAGGACCCACACTTCCAGACTGTGGTTGGGGTGTTACCCCCTACTTCTGGGGTGCCCCCCAACCTTATGCACCTTGTGCCCCAGTCCTGCCTCGAGGACTTTGTCACCCCTATCCATGCCAGTGTCACCATCACCCTGCCCGACAGGGACCCCCCAGGGCCCATTCTACCTCCCAGCACTGGCCACATCTGGGTCGAGGAAACACCACAGAGGCGCTGGGATGTGGGGCACGATGGGTGGGGTCCCCAAAATTAACCCACCCCCTTCTTTCCCTACACCATAGATCCCCTTCGAGCAGAATTGTGGGGACAATGAGGTGTGCGAAGCCGACTTGGGGGTCAGGGTGATGCTGGGGGACGCAGCTGTTTTCGGGGTTCCCAGTGCCGAACTGAGGGTTCAGCTGATTGTGGACAACAGGAGGGAAGATGCTTATAAGGCAGCCCTACAAGTGCAGCACCCCCCAGGGGTCTCCTATCGGTGGGCCCGGGCCAGCCAGGTATGTGAGGTGCCCCACATGGGGATCCCAAAATATGGGGGAAGGGAGGGCAGGGAAGGGACAGGGGGGTTTGGGGCCCATATATCCCAGCCCCCCATTTCCCCCCAGGCCTCTGCCCCGGTGCCCATCACCTGCTGGGACGCTCAGGGCGCCGAGGGGCAGCTCTGGGGCCTCTCCTGCAACCTCAGCTACCCCATCCTCCGTGCCGGCTGGCATGTGAGATCTGTGGGGCCACGCCCTGGGGCTGGGGGTCGTTGTGGGGTAGCCCCCCGCGTCACCCCAACTCTGCCAAACGCCAGGTAATGGTGGAGGTGACCTTTGACCTCCAGCAAAATGCCACGTGGGGGAAATCCATGGGGCTGATGGTGACTGTGAGCAGGTGGGATCCGTGGGGTGGGGATGGGTCCGTGGAGTGCTGTGGGGCAGGGAGGTGACACCTGTGGGTCTTACCTGTCCCACAGTGAGAACGAGCCCAACATCACCCTCGGGGACAACACAAAATCCTGGGGTGTCCCTGTCCACTTCGTCCTCGACCTCATGGCCTCCTGGTGAGCCCCACACATTCCTGCTCCATGGATTTGGGGGGGCCCAGGCATCTGGGCCCCACTGATCCCCACCTGCCCCACACACAGGCAAGAAGACTCCACCCCCCACCTCAACTTCACCCCCCCCAGCCCCACAACAAGACACTGTGGCACCACTATCGGGTGAGCCCCCTGAGTGACCCCTCCCATCCCTCTGCCCCACAGCCCTTGCTGACCCCCAGCTCTGCCCCACAGGTGGAGCTTCTCCGTGCCCCCACCCTGGGCAGCCCCAAAACGCAGGCGATGACCTTCGTCCTCCTGCCCCAGGTGCTGCCTCATGGTGTGGTTGTGGCTGCCCCCCAAGTGCAAGTGGTGACTGGGGGGCTCTGCCCCATAGGGTGCCCCTCTGAGCCCAGTTGGTGCCCCTCCCTCCCAGTTACAAGGGGCAGGACCCCCTTCCCCCAACTCAACCCCTGCCCTCCTGCTGACGCCTGTCCCCCAGCTCCCTCCTGCCCCTCAAAAGTCCTTCCTGCCTTCTACTCCTCCTTGAACCCCATGTGACCCCCTATCTCCCAAATAACCCCTTCCCTTACTGACCCCTTGATCCCTGCCCCCAGTTCACCCCCCTGCCCCCAATCCCCCTTGACCCCAGCTCCACCCTTGTCCCCCAACTCACCCCCTGCCCCGCAGGATCTGGGGGGCCCTTGTGTGGCTGTGGAGCCACAGTTGGTGGACGCTGTGGGGCAGGAGCTGAACAGGAACATCGCTGAGGTGAGGGGGGGTGGGGGGACTCCAATATCGGGTTGCAACTGGGGTGTATTACATAGTGTGGGGGGACCCCCATACAAGGGTGCTCTGAGGCAGGGAGATCCCAATGTGGGGGTGCTCTGGGGCCCCCAGAGTTGTGGGGCACTGCAGAGTGCTCCCCTCACCGTGGGGGAGGGGCAGGGCCCTAACTTTGGGGTCCCACCCCTCCCATCCCCAGACTTGCTCCACCCCCCACCTGAGGCTGTTCCGCTGCCCCCCGACCCAGATGACCCCGGGGGTCCCTGTGGGGGTCACCGTCAGCACTGCCCTTTGGCCCCTCCCCCACAGCCAGGTACCCCTGCCCCCACCCCTCCTCCACCCCAAAGCCTCTCCCCCTCTTACCCGTTCCCCACCACAGGGACCTGCCCACTCCCACTTTTGCTCCGCCCTCTGGCTCACTCTGGTCCCGCCCTTTCTGGCCACGCCCCAATTCCTCCGAGCTCAGGTAATGGTGGGGAGGGGCTCTGGGATGGGGAGGGGTCTATTTGGAAGCCACACCCCAATTCTTCTGTCTACCTTGACCCCTCCCCCCTGTTTTAGGGGGTCACGGAGGTCAAACTGCTGTGGGAAGTCAACCCTCTCCCCGGCTACGTAGTGGGAGGGGTGGGGGGGCTGCTCCTCCTCCTCCTCATCGTCCTTGGCCTCGCCAAGGTGAGGAGGGGGGGCTCTGTGTGTGGTGGAGGGGTGAACCCCACTTTTGGCGTGCCCCTCCCCTCCATTCTTACCCTACCCCTCCCCCACAGTGCGGCTTCTTCCAGAGGAATTACCGGGAGCGAATGGAGCAGGAGGGGCCAGAGGAGGGGGAGGGAGAGGGAGAGGAGAGTCCCCTGAGTGGGGAACCCCCAGAGAGGGGGACTCACCCTCCTGACCTGCACTGCCCCTCCCTCACGGGGTAAAATGGTTCTGGGCCCCTCCCCCCCCAAAGGGGTTTCCAGTCCCCCCCTCACCCCAATAAAAGGCTCTCAAGCCCCTCCCCCACCATAACGGCTCCTCCCATTGTCTTCACTGGTTTTACTGGGAAACCCTGAGAAAAGGGTGAGGGGGGGGAGAGGGAAGGGTCATGACGCTGCCCCTCCCCCTCTCCAAGCTGGTTCTGAACACAGGGGAGGGGTCCAGGGTTCATTAAACCCCCTGCAGCACATTGCCCACCCTCCTCCCTCCTTGTCTGGCCTGTACCAGCCCCAGGGTGGGCGCAGGCCCAGGGAAATGCCCAAACCCCTGTGCCTGACACAGGTGAGGGGCACCTGAAATCTGAGGGACTGGAGCGTGTCCAGAGCTGGGAACAGGGCTGGAGAAGGGGCTGGAGCACCAGGAGCAGCTGAGGGAGCTGGGGGGGCTCAGCCTGGAGAAAAGGAGGCTCAGGGGGCACCTCCTGGCTCTGCAACTCCTTGACAGGAGGGGGGAGCCGGGGGGGGGTCGGGCTCTGCTCCCAGGGAACAAGGGACAGGAGGAGAGGGAATGATCTCAAGCTGTGCCAGGGGAGGGTCAGGTTGGATGTCAGGAAAAACTTCCATGGAAAGCATTGTCAGGCATTGGAAGGGGCTGCCCAGGGAGGTCGTGGAGTCTCCATCCCTGGAGGTTTTCAAGGAACTGGATGTGGCACTTGGTGACAAGGGGGATGCTGATCACAAGGTTGGACTCGATGGTCTTGGATGGATTTTCCAACCTCAGTGATCTCATGATTCTGTGAACTGGGGTGTGTAGTGGTCCACTGGAAGGCAACTGGGAGGTCTGGATGGACAACTGGGATGTCTAGTGTGGGAAACTGGGAGGTTTTATGGGGTCAAATAATTGGTGCGCTTGTCCACTGGGGGGCAATTGGGAGATCTGGGGGGCAACGCCCCCATGGTACCCCCAAACCCACCCAGGGCTCCAAACCATGGGGTCCAGGATGTCAGTGAGGATGACCCAGGGGTCGCCAGGGCATCACAGGGGCTCCTTTCCTAAAGACTTCTACTGCCATGTTCCCCTGTATGATGATGCCATCAAGGTACTGCTGGTGTTCTGGAGCGTCACCCTTCTGTAGTGTGGCCCGGATCAGTCCATGGCTGATGCTGGGGCTTTGTTTCCACTCTGGGAATTCTGGGGGTACTGTACACCCCTCCCGGTGAAAGCAAACTGTGGCCAGCACTCTGTTGTCAAAGGAATGGAGAAAAACATGTTTGCATGTTTGCAGTCCACTTGGCTGCCTTGGACTCCAGTTTGTATGGAAGCTCCAGCATGTCCAGCACAGCAGCACCCAACAGTGGGGTGACTTCATTCAAGTAACAATAGTCCAGTCAGTCTCCATTCTCCACCAGACTTACCCACAGGCTAAATGGGGCTGTTGAAGAGTGAGTGGGTCTTGCTGACCAATCCTCAGCTCTCCAGTTCCGGGATCCTCTTGTGGATGGGGATCACTGAGTATCGACTGGTTCAGTACTGGCAGCAATGCACTGTTGAGGTGGCAACTGGCACCTGCTGTTCGTCTACCTTCAAGAGTCTCCCAGCAGAAGGATTTTGTGACGGTCCAGGCAAGGTGTTCATTCGCTTAATCCCTTCTATCTCCACAACAGCAATTCCAAAGACCCATCAATGTCCTTTTGAGTCTTTGAAGTACCCATTCCAGAGGTAGCCAATGCCTAGGATAATGGGGCATCTGGGCCAGTTACAAGGGGGTGTTTCTGCCAGTCCCTCATGATCAAGCTCACTTCAGCTTTCAGCATTGTCTTGAGACACTCCTGTCACCCCAGAAATGGAAATAGTCTCTGGTCCCACCTGTCCTGATGTCATTAACGTACACTGAACACCAGTGTCAGTCAGAGCCTTGTGTTCTTGTGGGTCTGATGTGCCAGACCATCGGATCCACACAGTCCAATAGACACGGTTGTCCCGTGCCTCTACCTGGCTAGAGGCAGGGCCCCTCTAACACTGATCTTGGTTATGGCCATCACAGCTCTTTCCCTGTGAATACACATGGGAAGTACCTTCTGGCGGGTCAGATCCTTGCCCATGGGAAACCTGCACTGCACTTACTCTCACTGACTTCCTTTTTTCTCTCTCCTTCAGTTCTTGTCCTCGGACTGCCAGGGCACGGGTAGGTTTCCTGTCCCACTATCTCTTGTCTTTCCCATGGTCAAGAAGGAAGGACCACAGCTCAGTTGATGGGGTCTGTCCCCTTTCTCTAGCTGGAGGTCATCTGGCTCTGACCTAGGAGGCTCTGGTTCACACTGCTACCACATGGAAACTGGTCTCCTTAATCTCTCCTCTGAGATTTTTTTGTTCATCTTTTGCCTCTGCATTTAGTGCCTCAAGACTCTCAACCAGTGTCCCTGCAGTAGAAATAAGGTATGGGTATGCTGTCCCTGCAGTAGTGGGGTATGGACCATGCCACCGTACATTCTGAGTTTGTTACAGAGCCCACTGTCTCTCAGTTTCCCTCAGAATAGGTAGACACCAGGAGACTGGATAGCCCCTGGTGTGAAAGGCTCCACCACATCTGTGACCTGCACCTGACCCGGTTGGGGTCACTATTTGGTTGCCTGTCCCTTCCAAAAAGTACCTCTAACAGTGCCATTTCCCTCAGGCATAGGATCCCTTCCTCCACGGTCTTACAGGCCACTTTATGATGATGCTCCTGCAGGCTGTCCGTGTAAGCAAACTTCTCTCTCACACTTGTTAGAAGCTGTGCCCAGAGAGAAAGGGATTTTGATTCCCTCAGAAACACCTGCTCAATGCCCACATCCTGGGCCAGAGATCCCAAAAACCTCGCTTTGGTGCCATTACGTTGCAAGCCTTCATCCATAAGGTCCCAAACTCGGACCAACCAGGTCAAAATTGGCTCACTCAGGTGTTAACATATTTCTGCAGACTGCAGAGGTTGTCAAAGGACAGGGACTCAGTGATGCTCTCTGGCTCTGGGTCTACTATCTGTGAGGGTGCTGCCTCCTCATTATCGTCCACCGGAAAAACTGATTTGGTCTTATATTTCCTTTTTTTGGATAGGGGCAACTTCTATTGGCCTGGACTGTTCTCCTAGTTTAGCTACATCTTGAGTCACCATGGGGCCAGGTGTTTTACTCTCTTCCTTTTCCTCCGGGAGGTGCTGCACCAGACCAAGCAGATTTTGGTAGGCAGTGGCCAAAGTCCCGCATGCAACTACCACGGTATCTCTCCCTCACAGATCTCATTACTTTTGTGGGATCCTGGAGTTGTTCAAGGGTGAAATTCCATGGCATTGAAGCAGAACAATTTTCCAAGAATTTACCAATGTCCTCCCACAACCTGTGCCACTCAAAGTTTCCTGCCCCTGGGGTGGAACATGTTCTCGGATCCTTCCCTAGCTTCGTAAATAAGATATGCCATAATGACACAAGCTTGCAGACAAAGCACAAAGAGAAAGGTATCTCTGGCGTATAGAGAGAATTTAAACTTCCCCAAAGCTGTTGTAGCAGACTTGAATAGGAAATGGTGAAGAATTGGGAAAAAAAGCTCCCCTGTATTTCTCCCCACGGCTTGATTCCAATTATCACTAACCCCCAGAGGTAACAGGTAAGGTGAGGGCAGGAAGACAACCTTGAAAACACATTCCACGAGACCTACAGCATTGAATTCACAGTGTCAATGAATCCAATGTAGGAAATCAACAATAGCCACAGCTGTCTTGGTTTGGGGACACAGGTCAAAAAACCTGCCTATGAACTCATGGGCTTCTGCATGAATAGGTATCAGAAAAACACAAAAAAATGAATAGCATGATGCCTACAGGGTTCTATATCCAATACAGAAATGGATTACAGAAGAACTGTTATTCTTTTTCCAACTTTTCTCTCGATGCCTCACTTGGGCACCAAAATTTTGTTTTGGTTTAAAGACAAATGTCAGTCAAAGAAGGCAGGAACCTTCCTGGAATAGAAAGAAGACCCCCTCCCTCCAAAGTATTATAGCTTTAAAATTAAGAGGTTTTCAGGCAAAAATGTAGGGTTCTTTACTAAATATATATAAATAAATATATACTAAACAAAGAACAACACTGTAAGAGAAGCTTTCAACCAGCTGATTAGCACGTTCCCTTTCGGTGCAGTTGCAGCCACACCAAGCAGGGTGCCTGTGAGGAGTCGGTGCTGCACAAACTGTGTGAGAACTGGGAAGAATAAAAGTGGGTGACATTTTTCTGTTATTGTGTGGGTGTTGCTTTTGTTCTCTTTTGTTCCCTCTTTTTAGTAAACCATCATTTTTTTTCTACACCTTGCTTGTAGGTCTCATATTTTCAAATTTACAAGAAGTCTGGGAGGGAGGGGTTTCTATTCCCTCGGAGGTCCTGCCTCCTAGCACACATTGTCTTTAACCTAAGACAGGTTAAAGACCCGTCAGTACCAGGACCCCCCTGAACTCCCCATTCCTCAACAGTGGCACCCTCCTGCACCCCCTTATCCTGCACCCCTCCACTCCCTTCTCTGACATCCCACCAGTGCTATGTTTTGGATTTGTAATGAGAATGGTACTGATAACACACCAGTGGTTTGGGGTTTTTTCTAAGTCGTGTTTATCCCAAGTCAAGGACTCTTTTTCCTTGTCTCCTGCTCTGGCAGTGACAAGATTCACAAAAGAAATTGAGAGGGAGCACAACTGGGTCAGGGGAACCCAACTGAGCAAGGGGATATTCCACACCATGGAATATTATGCTCAGGATACAAATTGGGGGCAGGTATCTTGAAGGGGCCTGTCTGGGTGCGGGCAAAGGGGTCTGGCATCAGTCTGCAGGTGGTGAGCAATTGCACTGTGTATCACTTTGTTTTCTCTTTTTATTACCATTATTATCATTTACAATTATTATTGCATTTTACTTTATTTACAATTATTAAACTCTCTTAAACATACGAGTTTTACTTTTGTCCTTGTGTTCCCTCTGTCCCTGCCCACCACGTGTCCCTCATGTCCCCACTGTTGTGGTTTTAAGCCC